ATGGTCTATTGCATCGGGCACGTCTTCTGCGAAAGACCCGTTTAAAGTGCCTCAAAGCAAAGATGACACTTTGGGGCGTCCGGCGAAACCGACTCAGAATGCTGGTGTGTTCGTCCACCACGTACACATGGAAAGCCTGGAGCAGGACGGATGCTCAGGAGGCACGGTGTTAGTGAACGACTGAATGTGCTACAGCTGCCAGCAGGACCGGCAGACCTGTCTTGGAAAAGGTACAGCTCGGGTGCTCCTTAGAAGGGGAGATGGCAAGACAGCCTCTCAGGTCCTGTGGACTTCTGACCAGGAGCGCCTAGCTCCTACAGAGGAACATCGGGCGTGGTAGAGGGTCCCTGAACAAATGGAAGATGGACATGCCAGCTGCAACGAGGGTCGTGAGAACGAAGCAGGCCCAAGCAACGTGCGATTCTGTTGCATAGAGCACAGCGGCTTTGTGGGCCGAACCAAAGGGCAGAGGAAGTAAACTCCAAAAGCACTTTTTTCTTTAGGAACGGATAGGTAGCAACCCGATGTTGTTTTATGCTGACTGGTTTGTCCCGACTTGTAGTGGACTATATGAGGAGTACACCTGGCCCCCCACGAGACACAGTCGTTCCAAGAGCAGATCCCCAAGTCTTCTCGCCTCAGCACCCCTGGTGGATTCGAACCGCCAACCTTCTGGTTAGCAACCTAAGCACTTGAACCGCTGCAGCACCACACTTAGAACGTACACCGGCAGACAACGGCCAGAGGCACGGAGGTCGTGAACAGCCCAGGGGCTGTAGTGTTCGTCCTGTGCCAGAGCCTCCTACTCAAACAGCCTTGAGTGCGCTCATTCACGTTTCTGATTGTGAACGGCAGGGTCACGTGGGGTGGGCCGATGGCGTCACTGAAAACTGTGATGATGAAATAGATTTATCTCATTCTCATCCTCCCTCTCCCCACAAATGAAGTTCGTCCTTTGCTTCCTTTTGCCATTTCTTCAAACGAGCTGGCCAACAGCATACGTACAAATGTGCTCGATACAGTGGGTGTACGGATTGGTAGAAGAGCTGTAAGAGTCCCCAGTAAAACTAAAATAAAATAAAGAGTAAATTAATTTAAAAACGTGAACTTAAAAATAAAATGAGCTGGCCAGCTTTTTGGGTGAAATAGTGAAATCGGAAAACAAACGAGAAGAAAAAGAAATATCTAAACAATTTGATCTCTAAGAACCACCACCTATTAAAAGGAAGCTCTGAAAATTCTCAGCTAATAATTCATCCAAATGCCTGTTAGAAAAATCCATTCACATTTTAAACTCAGTCATGTTTATTAAATCGATACTAGTGCCTTGTTGTTTTCAAGGTTTGGTGGGGTGTGTGGGGCAGGGGTTGTGTTTAGTTTTTCTAAGCAAGGAATTGGGCAAAGTAATAAATTATTGTGCCTTTTGATTAATACCCAGAGTGCCGACCTTTTAATGTTGTACTCCTTTATGTGTTTTAGTTCTTTCTATCCAACAAAGAAATTAAGACTCGTTTTAAACCCATAAAACATGTGCTTTCTCTCCAGAGCCTCCAAAGGATAATGGGGGTTCCGAAATCCTCAAGTATTTGCTGGAGATTACCAATGGAAATTCCGAAGGTGAAACTTTCAGGGTGTTTTTAATGGGGTTTCCCCTTAGATGCAGCCCACACCCAAAGAATAGAGTCAACAGTGGGGGGCGTCCACACAGCGGACATTCAGGTGGAGGGAGAACAGTATTCCACACCTGTCCAAAGGCAGGTCCGTGGCCCAACAGGCACTAGTGTACCTGGCTGGTGTTGGGGCCCGTGAGCAGGTCATTCGTTCTCCCCTCCCCTGCCCGCTGTACCACCCCCGCCCAGGGCCGTACTCGCAGAGAGACCTCAGAGTCAGCGAGTGCAGTACCATTGATAACGCTGAGCCAGTGGTTCTCCACCTTCCTCA